AATTACCTCCTCATTGTGTGGATCAGGTCTCCAGAGCCTTAATGATCTAATTATTCTTTCAGGTGTGGTGCAGCAGAGGCACATCTAAAAGTTGCAGGGCAGTGGCCCTCCAGGACTGGAGTCTGCGCATTGAAGAATCAACGATGATGTAAAGACAAAAACTGTTGATATCGAATAATACTGCTCCTTTAAAGCTGGAGAATTTGAAATAGCTTCACTGACCCTGAGTAGCAATGGGGGTGGGAGGAGGAGGGTAACAGTTGGTGCATCCATGCAGCCATGGGGTTGCAGGAACCTCCTGACCTTCTTATCAGGAGGTCAGCTTTAATGACCAGCACGAACATCAGCTGTCCAAAAGGAACGAAAGGAGATTTAAATGTTCCCGTCATCAACCACTGACTGCAGCTTTATGGCGATTAAACCTTTTCATCACCCATTGATGTGCTGCAACAAAACCTCCCAAACAGGATTAGGCTGAAGTGTGAAACACAACCACTTCTGATGCTACGGTCCTTTTAGAAAATCTGCTCACAATTAGGGGGGCTGCAGCGCTTTAGGGCAGGATTAGCGAACAAAGAGATGGGAGATACTCTGAATGGAGCATCCAACGCTCTTCCCTTCCCTAAACTTTTTGCTGCGCCATCAGCTCCTGGCAGAGAGCATCCCGTCCCTCCGTCCCTCACGCCGTGTCGTCTGTGTCTGGATGAGCATGTGCTGCTGGGGTGGCAGGCAGACGTGCTTCGCTTGAGCGCCGAGAATGGAGGGGGGGAAAAAAGGGGGCACATTCATTCATCAACAGGATGCGCAGTGTAATTGTGGCAGCAAGAGTAAAGTAGATAAATGGCTAATCACCTGAAGGAATGAGATGATTCATCTCTTCCTGATATGATGCTGGTTGAAGGACCGCCAGCGGGGATCCATCAGTGTCTGCTACAGAGCAGACTATCTTGTTTGTTACGCTGTGTGAACTCTGAGTGTTTACACTCATTAAAAAAAAACTTCATTAAAACAAAAAAGTGTTTTCAGTGAACACAGAGCTGCTATGGGTAAAAACAGAAGTGAACAGTGCGCTTTTGCAGAATTAACCAGTCAAGTGGAATAATTGTAGCTTTTGAGATTAACAAGGAAGATCCTATCAGGCTTAACAACCTGGTTGTTGAATGAGTAGATTTTTATCAACAGTGATAAAATATCTGTTTATTCTGGCAGAAGTAGTGATTTGTACATATAGCTTGCCTGATAAAATGGCTATAAAATTGCAACAAAACATTTAATTCCCAAAACCTTGTTATCAAAACCACAATGTATTAATCTACCTTTTTCAAATCGTTGCAAGGTGATCTTCAGTTTGATGCTCTTGAAGTCTGCAAAGAAATATATTTTATTAATACAGTTAATATAAACATTTGTGCTTTTCCAAAAAAAATAACAATAAAATATTTAAGGCAAAACAGCCTTTGTACAGAATAATCACTGTAGCCATATATTATAAACACTGAATGGTTTCAGTAATGCAATTATCCTCATTTATATGGTACAGTGACAGGACCAAGATAGTAGTATTAATCTTAAAGAGTAGTTTAGAAAATCACTAATATCACTAATAAATCACTCCAACTATATTGCATGTACTAAAGAACATAGAGCTACAATTAAATAGAAGTACATTTCACATCAGTACTCGCAAAATATTTGTAAAGACTTCAGCAAACAAAATTCTTCATCTTTCAATCTTTGACTCAAGCTTAAAGACGACAGACCAACACAAAACTGTGCAGACTGAAACAAACTCTGACAGAACAAAATAATTTAAAATGTCACTTGCAGAATAATAATTTAAAAAAAAGAATTTAAAAAAATGAACTACTAAGCCTTAATCCTATTTACAAAAAAAGTTTTTATGCCAAATATATTGAAACCACACAGGCCCCATAAACCGTTGCCCATTCCCAGTTAGCCCACATAAAAAAGGACTAGGGCCTACAAATCCATGCCCAGGTCCAACCCATGTACGGTCAGCACATGCTTATGTCATGTGGGTTCAATGTGGTCAAACCACATGGGTCCAAAATAGTGATGCCTGTTTGTGTCACATTCATTGCTCGCCCACATAAAAAAACGACTAGGGTCTTGTTATTAATTCTTCAATGGCTCATATCTATGCTTTTATTTTGAAGTGCTTCCTTTTATTTTGAAGGAGATTTGTTCTGTTTATTTTCTTCTTGAAGTTCCTCAGCTGGTCTGTTGAGACCTGAGCTGCAGTCACTGATGATGTGAGTCCTGGTATCAGTCATGTGACATGAATAGATAGATTATTACTACTGACAGATTTGTTTAGCTGCTGGTATATCTCTAGAGTTTGTTAATGTCTGTTTTACTCTTAATATGTTTGATTTTATTAAAACTATCTACCACTAAACCGTTAGTTTTGAGCTTTGACCAGATAGTTAGATCGATTCTGAGTTTTGCATCATTTAAATTTAAAGTCTTTATCACAGAGGAAATTAATGTCAATGTATTTTACTTGCTTGTGAATTGTTATATTTACATTTTTTCATTAGTAATTTTGAACCTTTATTTATGAATTCTGTATTTTCAGAAACTGCTTCAATTTATTTGATTCGTTGACATCACTCTTCAGTGATGACCGGTGTGCTTTCTGACCGGAGCACTGTAGTGGTCAGTTAACAAAATCCACCAACAAAAGTCAAAATCCTCAGTTGGCCTACATATCCACGCCCAGGTCCAACCCATGTACTGTCAGCACATGCTTATGTCATGTGGGTTCAATGTGGTCAGCCCACATGGGCTTCCTATGTTGGGCCCCACAGTGTTGCAGTTAGCCCACATTATTGCCGAATAGGGCCCATACATTTAGCCCAAAAGGCCCAGCCCACATGGGTCCCACTGTAGGTTAACCACATGGGTCCCATGCAGTGAGCCCAGATTAAACTCATGCCCACTCATTACCCATGTAGCCCACAATAATCCCATATGGGGCCCATTCATGCATGCTGGCAGAGTATTGATACAAAAACAGGCCTATTTTTCATTACTAGGCCTGAGGAGGAAATATATTGACTTTTTGAACATCTAACTACATTATATGAAAATTCACAACAAGTCTGTGTGTAGCCTGGCCTACGCAGAGAGAGATGGTTTTGAGTTGTACTTTAATGCTTGTTCCCTTTACTGTGGAGAACAGCACGAAATTAATAAAACCTGTGTGTCCAAGTTTCATTGAGTTAAGAGAATTATTGAGCGTTGCTATGGATGGGATGTAGAAGAAAAGTCTTTTTGCCCTCCAGCGTTGTCCGCATGGGCGAAATTTCCTTATATAAACAGCAACATGTCAACAAATGTGTATATCTGATTATGAATAAGTTGGTGCCTCACCGTACGTCACTGTCACACTTCCAGAAGTCTCCTGCAGCCATGGGCCGGGGTCAAAGTGCAGGCCTGGTCTACAACAAACAGGACGCCAGCCATGTTGAACTGAACTTGTTTTTGTAGACGTTTTTAAGCTTTGTATATCATCGAACGTTTCTTGGTTTGAAAATTGGTGAGTTTTGGGATCAAAAGTGATCAAAATCCTGACTTTTCCTGCAGGTTGAAGTGGGGTCACACCATGGCCAGAGGTTTGGCTGTCATTTCCACAAATATGTTTTCCCTTCACATCACAACCAATAAGATTTTTTACATGTCTGATGCCAATCAGCATCCACAATGGGGTCAAAATCTTTTGTCTATTTCCTGGCTGCCTGATTATTTCATTACTATTTTCAACCAATTCAGATGGAGAAATGGCAACAAGGTCCGTCGCTGTAAAGAATTACAAATGTCTCCACCGTGTCAACAACACATTTCTGAGCCACTGCATGCTTTGCGTGTTAACAAAAAGGCATTTTTCTGAAAATAGACGTTGTGCCACTGGACTGAAAATGCGGCAAAAGCTCAGAAACAAACGAGAACAACCTCTGCAAATCCTGCAGAAGTACTGACACACTAGTTTTACAGATCACAGGCCGGGTCTGACTGTTTGGAGGTAAAAGTGACTAACTGCAGCGTCTAACCGTGAAACAAAAAGGCCAACTTGGCCAGAACCATATAGCAGAAATGAGTATATAAATCTAGATTACATCCATTTAGTTTACAAGCAGGAAATATTCACCTGAGTGGAGCAGAGCAGCTGTTTACAAAACATGATGCGAGTCCCCGCACACACACACACACACATCCGTTTATCTGTGGGTGTGCAGTTTATCTGTGGGTGTGCAGCCCCCTCAACGCTCCCACACACTAAACTGTTTCCTGGGCCAGAAACCAGCCATCGCTAGGCAACAGGGGGAAACCTGCAGCACTGGGCCGACTCCGTTGCTGCTCGAACTGAGTGGCCTCATGAAACATCACTGGCGGAACACAAAGGCCCAAAGGAAGAGCTTAAAATTGCGCAAGTAGGAATTACAAAAATAAATGCTGATTAGAAACATGGCAGTAATAAAAAGCTGATATTACAGTAAGTTTGTGCTCTAGGATCAGGTGGTTTTTCCAGCTGTATCGAAATAGATGCATTTCGCACAACTCCAATCAAAACATTCGAGTGATGTGAAAAAAAAATCGCTTGTGATCAACAGTTACGACGCTGAGACGACGAAGACGACAGGAAGTGGTAGGAAAATGAACGACTTTTTGCTTGAGCAAAAGTATTTACGTGTCATTAGTTGCTCTATTTAATGGAAACACCGCATTTGGGAAGTTGGGTTTTCTCCACATTATCGAAATATTGAGTTTTGTGCACATGCAGACTCCTGCCAGCTCTCTGTGAGGTCACTGAGCCGCCATCTGGAACAAAGTGCAGACTTGTTTGAGAAAGTCCGTAACTTGAAACTTCTCCACACGATTCTTGTTTTTGACATCATTGCTGTTATTTGTTTTTGATTCACTTCATCCTAGAAAGATTAGGATAACTGAGGAGCTGAGATGATAACCATCCAGGAGAATTTAACCAAATAGTTTTGCTTTATTGACCATATAAGATGCCTTCACAGAGGTAAACAAAAACAGACAACTGATATGCTTGAAATGAAAAAGAAAAACCCACATTTTATTGCACTTAAGTTATAAGAAAATAAAATTCTAAGTGAATCAAACAAATACACAATCCCTTTCAGGTTTTTTTTTTGTCTGTTTTTAGTTTGTTTTTTGCTGTTTTTTGCCAGGCAGTTTTACATGAATTGAACAAAATAAAAACACCTGCAACAAATCTGATTTCTCAAACCAGATCATAAATTAAAATCAGACGGAGAAAACAACAGGAGGGGATAGAGCGAGATTGTTTTCTTTCTTTCGTTCGTTGTTTTTTTTTTTTTTTTTTTTTTAATATACAGTGTTATACCACTTTCACAGTTCGGCTGGAGCTGTGACTCTGGGAGGTTTTGAGACGACTTGTTTTGGCTACAAGGTGTTTTGTCCATGTTCGTTTCGGTGGAACACCGAGACGCTCCGCGGCCCGACCTGCCAGCTGATGCATGATGGTGGTTTCCTCTGTTGCTTCAGACACCTGTGGAGGGGAAAAAAAGCAAAACAAAAACAAAACAAAAAAAACAGTCTCATACAGACATATGGGCCATTCTCTCATTCACAAGTTAAAATCAGTACATCTGTTAGTTTGATTTCTTTTTTAACCTCTTTTTTTTTTTTTAAGCCAGTCCACGCAGCATTTTAACATTTTTCCCAAAGAACAGGCTGGAGAAGCGTTGTCCCGAGGAATGTGATAAGCTGCCAGCTAACACGCTTTAACACACACACACACAGGCACACACACGTTCTCTAACAGTGTTACAATTCCCCCTCGTTTGTGTCTCCTGTCAGTTTCTGTCGGACGCGCTCTCTCCTCGTAGCCTCAAACGCAGAGGCACGTTTGGCTCAAGTTTCAGTGGCAAAAAACAAAACAAAACAAAAAAACAAATGCGGAAAAAAAAAAAGAAAGGGTCGGAGGATGGTGATCACGTCACTTTTCTGGTTTAAGTCCAAACGTACAGAGTCCTGTGAGGAATTTCGCCTGTGGACTAAAACGTCACAGCAAGTAGAAGCTCCGTTCTCTGGTTCCGGTTCCTCTAGCAGCATTAGATTCAGTTTGGCCACTCGGGGGGGCGCGGTCAGGGCAGGTTGGGGTCAGTGGATAGTAGAGGTGTTTGTCCTCAGCCCTCCAGCTTCTGAGGAAGCCCCCCCAGAGCTGAACAGCACTCACGGTAACAGAGACCGGACTGGACCAGACCGGACCGGATTCTTCCTCTAATACTGAAATTCTGCATGAAGCATAAAACCAACAACAACGACAACAACAAAAAAAACCTCTTCAGATCCTGAAATTCACAGTTGTGTTTATGTGGAGAAATCAGAAGTCCAGAGCGATGAGAACGGAAACGGAGTGACGGAAACGGGCCGGACCACCCCGACGCCCCCCCACCACGTCCAGCAGCTCTTTGGGAGGAACTGTGAGGGGAAGCCAGTCATCATGATGACCGTATGCACACGCTCTGATGGGAGGGATGGGGGAGGGAGCAGGCAGATGGCTGGGCGGGTGAAGGAGTTTTAAAAAATAATATCTCTCTGTACATCTGAAAATCTGTCCCACTCGAGTAAAAGCGGGTCCTCTGTGCGAAGCCGGCCTCAGGAGAGTTCGCTCCATTTCTCCCTCCAGATCACCTTCAGCAGGAGGGGCCGGGGGACAAAGGGGACCGGACTCTGAGGAACTGAGTTTGTCCGTAGCAGGAACTCCAACAGTAGACGCGGGCAGCGGCGGGTTTTGTGATTGTAGACTCTCTGAGTGTAGGTGAAGCGTTTTTGGGTCTCCGGGCTCCCGTCCCCCTCCTCCTCTCTCTCTGCGTGTCGCTCTCTTCGTCCTTCCACGGCGTGTTCCCCCGCACCACTTCCTGTCACTTCATGTCCACGTCAAAGTCCAGCACCAGCAGCTTGGTTTCCTCTGTGCCATTGCGGCTGCCCACCGCGCACACCAGCTTGGTGTTGGACGCCCGGATGCGCCACACCACGCCGCCGCTGCCGCCGCTCTCCAGGGTCACCAGGTTCCGGATGAACTCGCCCGTCTTCAGGTCCCACAGCTTGACCGTGCCGTCGTCAGAGCTGGTGATGACAAAGTTCTTGTTGAACTGGAGGCACGTCACGGCACTCTGGTGCTTGTGGGGACCTGGAGACACACAGGCAGAGAGAGGACGGTCAGGATGAGAAAGGACAAGGAATTCATTTGAACATTCAAAGTGCACATTTGTTAATGTTTTGTCATCCAATTTGTCTTTCTGAGATGCCAGAGATCCGGCTCCAGAGTTTTGGTCCAACGTTTTTTATTTAAATATTTTTCTATGAAGGACTTTGACCCCTTGATCCCCTGCACCTTCCAGCTGCTCTGTGCTTCCTGCCAGAACGAAGAAAGGAAATGAGGAAATATATTAAAACTCCTCTGCTCAGTTCTGGTCTGATGCAGCGAGAGAACGGTCTCACCGAGACAACGTTTTAGTTTTTGGTGACAAGTTATAGTCGCAGTGATCAGAGCAAAGGCTGCATCTGGCGAGGTTTCCACTGCCGTTTCATTTCACATTAGTCTGTCTGGATCAGCGAGGTTTATTACCTCCTATAAAGATTTACAGGAAAAAAGTACTATTTTTTTTATTTTACTTTTTTTTACCACTGAAAGTCCTAAAATATTTAGCTGGAACAGATCAGAAAGATTAAACATGCAAACAAAGCTGCTGCTAATGTAAAGAAACGCTGACGATATTATTTAGTTAAAAATAATAATACATTTAAAGGGGCAGTACACATAGTGCCATTATAGCACAATCAAAAAACTCTGTAACCTTCATATAATACATGTATAATACGTATATAGCAGTATATATCAAATAATTTCACTTAATAATTTAACATCTTGAAATTGCGCCTCTGTCTCTTTAAGGAGAGAGACAGATGACTCCGCCTTCAAGAAATCATCACAACACGGCTCCTCTATTGACCCTTTAACATTTTTACTAGCATTGTTATGAGAAGCAGCTCCTATAATGAGTCCAACAGATGCAGTTCAGTCAGGTGTTTGCTAATTGCTGCTGGCTAATCTGAAGGAGTTGGGCGGTTGGGGGGGGGGGGCCAGAAGCCCAGTAGCTTGGAAACTGCAGATATAAGGAGGAGCTTCATCTTTGAAGGCGGTGCTATGACCATCCTGGTGTTTTGCACAGTTTAATGGTTGTCATGGAGATTAAAGAATTTCTCAAACATGCATGAAAAAAATCAAGGCATAAACATACTTGGAATAACATATAACATATGAGAATAACATAACAGGATGTAAAGCTAAAAATAAAAGCTAAAATTATTTCAGTGTGAGGATGAATTCTCAGGTTTGGGTTTCCTCACTCTGAACCGATCCAGGCTCCCACCATGTTGGCCTCCTTTTCTGACACAACAAAGCAGACTACTTCATCAGAACCTTCATCCTGGTCCAGTGACAGTGATGATCTTGTTTCACTATGGTCTGATCAGATCACACTAATGACCATGACCTCATTATTTGACCTACAAAGATCTGCAGCCCCTTCCTGCTGGACCCCTCTTCTCCCCCTTCTCGTCTTTTCAGGCCCTCACTGGGGCATCTTTTTGTTCAGATGCTGTTCTGGCATGTGGGAGGCCAGCTCACTGGGCTGCAGGCTGCTAATGAGGGCATTTAGAGACAGGGGCACCAGTGACAGCTACGGGTATTCAGGAAAAGGACTTTGGTCTTCCAGTGAGACACTAAGTCCTGGTAATGGAGATAAAACTATTCAAATGGACACAAAGGAAACAAGGAGCTAAGCAGCAAGAGGAAGAAAAGAAGAAGCAGGATCTCAACACACAGCAGGAGGATCTGTAACATCACAGATGTAACTCAAGTCCTCAAAACGATGCTAGCGGCTAGTTGATCCACATCAACTTCAAAAGTTTACTTTTGTCAAGCAACAAAATGTCAGGTTGCCGTGAAACTGGATCCGCATCAGAGGACAACATGGACTGAACACGGCTAGTCCGATTGGAACGGGGGGAATCGGGTCAGTTTTCCAAAACCATCGAGCAGAAGTCCATGACTCTGGAGCTGCTCTTCAGTTGTCCTTCTACAGGCATCCAACGTATAATCAAAGTTTTAAGGTACATTCACACCAGGCTTGTTCAGTCAAACTAGCTCATTTGACCAGAAAGTCTGGTGGGTTTGGGTAGGTGTGAACTCTGGTGCGGTTTGAATGCATGTGTGAACGTCAAGCGGACTAGAGACCGCTCCAAAAGCAGGCGGGAGACTATATTGCATGGCATTCTGGGTAAATGCGACACCCAAATCTTGTGCTAGTGAAAGAAATGGCTTCTGGACTTTGACCAAAGACAAGAGCGAATCTTATAACCGCTAAAATCTCCAATTTTTGTTTACATCTTGTGAAGACGAAAGCTGCACTCATGTCTTTCTCAGAGGTTTTCATGCCGTTTCCTTCAGTGATTCTTGGTGCAGCACCACCAGAGGCCAGGAGGAGAACAAGTTTTCCAAGGGTTTGTTCATTTGACTCAGTGTGAAAGTGAACTGCTGCAGCTGAAAATGTAACAAATGTTGCAACTTTGGTCCATAATTGAACTGACTTTAGCCCATCGTCATTAGCTTTTACACAATATGAAGGCTGTTTATGATGCTTCAATATTAGAAGGAGGTGAAGTGTGAAGGAAACAGAAAATATGTCACGGTATTAGTGTTTGCTAGAATATCTATGGCTGCAGAATAAATAGGAAATTTATCACCATCACAATTTCTTTGCAAGCCTGTTACTGGACACGCTTGCAAAACACTTTGGCTAAATATATAAAAGCAACACATTTATACTGGGCATTCAATAATACACGGTCAAGCTCAGAATTATTCATACCCTGGCATCTTTACGTTTAAAGACCTTTAATTTTACCAACATGTTTCTGACTGGAAGGAGTGTTAAGTGTTTGGCAGCCATGCTCCTCCATTATGTCTCACAGACATAATGGACGTGACAGCAGCAGCTGTTTGCTACCGTCTGCATAATGATAACTAATAAACCTTTGACCAATCAGCCGATCAACAAGCTCACACTGCTTCCAGCAATCACCTGTGTTTCCCATGGCAACACAGTTCTGATTCTTCTGACCCGAGCTCACCTGCAGTCCACGTGTTTACCACTTGTGTCGTCTTATCAGTACATGTGAATTATTAAATACTCATCAATAATTTCTGTCATACATCAAAGTTTTTCACAAAGGTGAGGATGTCCATCAATAATAAAACAATCATCTTTAGATTCTCCTGAAGAAAACAGCTAAGCAGGTGTTCCTACCTCAGGTGAACAAACAGAAGATCTATCAACCCTAAGAGTCAGATAGGTTCCTTCCATTATCTTTTATTTGTACCATCAAAGCTGCAGTATGACACTTTCACAAAAGTAAGTTCTTTGCTCCACATTTTTGAAAACTGTCACCATGTTGTGATAATATGAGAAATATAATCCTCCACCTCTTCACAGTGCTGCTGTTTTAGCTTAGGTCTTAGGTCAATCACCTTTGTGGTAAATGTGCTAACGGTGGAAAAACAAGTCACTACCACAGAAAACTGTTTACCGCGATCATTAGTGGCCATACTAACGAGCCTTAGCGTTGGTAGCAGGCTATATTGTGGTGAACTAGCTGGAAAGAGCCGGAGGGAGAGGATGAGAGTGATTGACAGCACTAAGACCCTCCTCCTGGCTCTGATTGGTTGGTTGTGTCTGAGTGGTGTATTTCTGCAGTTAGTGCTGGAGCTCAATTTTTTTTCACAGATTACCTGACTTATGATACCACGACATAATGATAAGTTTAACAAATATGTAAAAATAAAAATCTTTTTTAAAATTTTTTATACAAGTTATAAGAGCGAAGGCAGAAGCTGTGTGTGTTCACCTTGCAGCGTTTGGAGACACTGGCCCGTCTTGATGTCCCAGATCTTGACAGTGGAGTCTGCGTTGCCTGAGACCAGGATGTTATCTTTCAACTCCATGCCGCTGGTGAGGGACTGGTGACCCGTCAGGGTGTGGATGCAGTTCCCCGTCTCCACGTCCCAGACCCTGATGGACGTGTCCAGGGAGCCGCTCACGACGTGGATCCCGTCAAACTGGGAGAATCAAAACGATCGCTTTAAATATATTCAGGCAAGGTAACTGCAGCTGGCAACTGATTGCAACAAAAAAAACCATTTAGCTGAAGCAGCATTCTCGCTTACAAACTTTTGATTAAACTCATTGAAAGGGATCGAATTTTATTGATCTGCAGGAGCTCATCTTTTTTGTCTATATGTCCAGTAGCAGAGCACGGTTACTGCCTAACAAAGAGGAGGCGGCGCAAAAGCCATCTATTCCCTGGAGAACATCTTAAAGAGAGAAAACTGCTTTCATTCATAGAAAATTTTAAAACTGCATAGCAAATTAAATCAACACAACATGACTGAAGTTCCCCCCCCAACTTCTTTGTAACAAATCAAACTGGTGTCAAATGTTTGTGCTATGTTTATGACGCAATTCTTTTGGTTTGAAAAAATGAAATGGATTTTTCCATTTTCCTTAAAATGGGAAAATCATTTTAAAGATTTTTGCAGAAGTCCTGAAAGGTCAACCAACTCTCTCCACATTTCAAACTAATTTTGTGTCAATCAACTGCTACAAATTTTATAGTTGCACAAATAGTAACAAATAGTTACATAAATTCTGTTTGATTTTGTTAATGTGTGTGGGGAGAGAAGGTGCTACATTTTGATGCACAAACCAGCAAAAGGTAGCACAGCTGATTTGGGGGGCTGGTTGACCTTTGATGACCTCTGGAAACATTTATTAACATCTTTAAAATGATAACAGCACAAACAAATATTTTTTCTGTACAAACCACCAGCAACGTTGTGGTGGTTTGTGCCACCAAATCATTTGCCAGTTGACTTGGTAAATCTCGAGGGCTTGGTCCGCTTTTCATGATGTCTGCAAAAGGTTTATTAATCTTTCAAATTAAATGCAGCGCAAACATTTGACACCAATTTTGCTGGATTCGAAGAAAGTGAGGTGGTACGAGGGGACCAACTTCACTCAGGTGACTCACACAAAATGGGTGACAAAGGTTTGTGCAGCAAAAAGTTTTGCTTGTACTTCATTTCATTTTGAAGATTTTTCTTCTTCAATAACGAGGATCCATGGTATATGGGTTTATGGGGTAAAAGTTCAGAAGTTTCTTACTTCTTCCTACTCCTTTTCGAACATATTAAGATTATTGTGATACAAAATAACTGTCTTTTGCATTTCTTGTTCATGTCTGTTATTTTATTCTGCTATTATCCTCAAACTAAAATAAATAATGAAACAAATAAAAACAAAGTAACAATAGTTTCCAGAGATCACGAAAAGTCAACCAGCCAGCCCAATTTGCAAAATTCAACAAACGTTTGATGTTAATGAACTGTGCTACGTTTGAGCAGCAACAATTTTCATTAGTGCCTCCGTCATTTTCAAGATATTAATTGTTACCAGAAGTCACAAAAGATCAACCAGGCTTCCCAAATTTGCTTTGGTGAACTATAAACAGCACACAAAGCGTGAGGAAGACACATGCCACCTAGAGGCGGCTCCTGCAGCTGGCTCAGCTTACCTGTAAAGAGTACACTCTGTTGGTGTGGCCCTGCAGCGTGTGGAGGCAGGTCTCTGTCTCTGGGTCCCACACTTTGACCATGAAGTCGTAGGCCCCGCTGACCACCCGCCGCCCGTCGTACTGGACGCAGCGCACTGCCGCCACGTGCCCCATGAGGACGTGTAAACACTGACCCGTCTCGATGTCCCAGACACGAAGCGTGGCGTCACGAGAGCCACTGACCACCCTGCAGATCAACCGCAAACACAGACGTGGCGATTCAGTCGCAGTAGCAAAACTGTTTAAATTGATTCACATTTATTCACATTAGACATTTATGTAGTTCAAGTTCAAAAATAGTAACTTGTTTTATATTGTGATATACATTGATATCAACATATTGTTACCACCCTAAAATATCACCACCTCTTTATTTAAAAAAAAGACTTGGCATTTTGTCAAGGAAGAAAATTAGGCCATTACTTTAGGAAGGTGGCAATATGAAAACTTTCATTTTGACAGGATATTTTTTCATATCCACACAGGCCTGATGATGAACCTCCCATTCATCAGCAAAGTTATTGAAAAAACTGTGTATAAACAAATAGTTTCCTCATGATGACCAACTGCTTTGACACTTTCCAGTCTGGTTTTCGTGCTCACCACAGCACGGAGACTGCCCTCGTAAAAGTATTCAATGATATCCATATAAATACGGACTGTGGCAGAACCACAGTGCTGGTTCTGTTGGACCTCAGTGCAGCTTTTGACACTGTCGACCATGACATATTACTGAATCGACTTGAAAGTTGGGTTGGACTCTCCGGTTCGGTGCTCGACTGGTTTGAATCCTACATAAAGAACAGGGATTTCTTTGTTTCAATTGGAAACTTCTCATCAAAGAGGTCAAAGGTCACATGTGGGGTACCCCAAGGTTCAATCCTAGGACCCCTCTTATTTAATATTTATATTCTCCCACTAGCTCAGGTCATAACAGGAAATAATATTAGCTACCATAACTGTGTGGATGACACACAGCTCTACATTACGATGTCACCAGGTGACTCTGAACCCATCCAATCACTGAATAAATGCTTAGAGCAGATAAATGTGTGGATGTGCCAAAACTTTCTCCAGCTGAACAAAAATAAAACTGAAGTCATTATTTTTGGACCTAAAGAGGAACGATCTAGAGTCAATGCACAGCTTCAGTTATTACAACTAAAACCTAGCGATCAGGCCCGAAACCTGGGAGTAGTGATGGACTTGGACTTGAACCTCCAGAGCCACATAAAGACAGTAACAAAATCGGCCTTCTATCACCTGAAGAACATCTCCAGGATTAGAGGACTAATGTCTCAGCCAGATCTAGAGAAACTCATTCATGCGTTTATCTTTAGTCGCATTGATTATTGCAACAGCATCTTCACAGGCCTGTCCAACAAATCAATCAAACAGCTGCAACTGATCCAGAACGCTGCTGCTCGCGTTCTCACTAGAACCATGAAGATAGAGCACATAACACCAGTTTTAAAGTCCCTCCACTGGCTCCCTGTAGCTCAAAGAATAGATTTTAAAATACTGTTGTTAGTTTACAAATCACTGAATGGTTTAGCACCACAATACATCAATGATCTGCTGTTGTTGTATCAACCTTCCAGACCTCTCAGGTCTTCTGGTTCTGGTCTGCTCTGCATCCCCAGAACCAGAACCAAGAGAGGAGAAGCAGCTTTCAGCAACTATGGACCAAAAATTTGGAACAAACTTCCAGAAAACTGTAAAACAGCGGAAACCCTGACTTCCTTCAAATCTCAAGTAAAAACGCACCTGTTTAGAGTTGCATTTGAAATGTAATATGTATGGATTTGATTTTGTGGATATGTATGTAATTTTTTATTTTTTATTATTTTTTTCCCTGTTGTGGGCAACGGGGCCCGGCGAATACCCGTGGTTAAACGGACGGCGGAGTCTGGCGGTAACAGGCGCTTAAATTCCGTGTCAAAGGGAAGGGGGAAGAAAAGGAAAGGGGAGGGAAAAAAAAAAAAAAAACCTTGGTATTTTATTCTATGTTGCATGCCTTTGTGTTTTGTGTTTATGATGTAAAGCACTTTGAAATGCCTTGTAGCTGAAATGTGCTATACAAATAAAATTTGATTGATTGATTGATTTCTAAAATTCAACATTCTCCATCGGTTGTCAGTTAAACAGCTGCAGCTGTGCTAAAAGAAAAAAAAAACACTTTCTGTCCCTCATCCTGCAACATTCATGTTCTCACTTGAAAGTACAGAATGTGCTCCTCAGCTCAAACGGCCGCCTCGAGCCACCTCTTGACGACAGAAGGCAATATGGTCGTAGGTTAGGAAGAAGACGGGATTCAAAGTGTAGTCTGGTCGCCGCCTGTCACGGCTTCACCTCCATCAGCCGTGAACTGAACACCCCAGACAAACACCAACAGACCTTCCGGAGTGTCTCGTAAATCGCTTATATACACAATATTACAGCAATAACTACAAAGCTCACGCTCTTTATTTAGTCAACGCCTCGCAGCGCTTTAAAAGATGGAAATCACTGACATGTTCTTTCCACCCAGTGAGTAATCAAATACTACACACACACAAAAAAAAAAACCTTGGCTGGCCCCGAGGCAAAAAGAGCACTTCTGAATCTCCAGAGTGCTACGGCGTGAACAAGTGAGCAGCAGTTCACTTAAGACGCCTCACAGGCTCCGTTTATTCGCTGTGAAAGTGCGAGCTGCCTGTTGCAGAGGTAGGAGAACTGCTACAGGCCTCTGCAGCAGAGCTGCTGTTGCTCTTTCTGCCTGATTGCTCTGCTGGTTGTTAATCACGAGGAACAGGAATAAACGACTCAAGGCTCGTTGTTTTTTGTTGTTGTTTTTTTTACAGTTGGCACTAGGCAGGTGTCAACCGTGATGAGCTTAGTATGTCGATAAAGATATGATGGCTGCAGAAGTACATTTAGCCTGCATTTTAATAAGTCATACCAAACCAGAAAATTTGATTTATTAAAATATTTGTGAACTGAACATTATTTTTTTTTTTGCTCTAGAATGTTACACTGCATGAACTGTAGGGACGCACTGATTGCACTTTTTAATTTCCGATATCGATACAAGTATCTGAGGTCCAGTATCGGCAAATATCTGCCAATAGATCTGCTCTTATGGATCGGCCACATTGTCACAGAAAACCAACCTAGAATGTTTTTCGATATGGACACCGATATGGATATGAAAATCAGATCGTGGATTTCTAAAGGACTCAGTTCCTATTGGAAAACAGTAACAGGACGTCTCCTGAAGCAAAGCAGTGAGAGGCTTCCTACCTTTTCTCGTGTAGGTGCATGCAGCGTACTGTTGAGGTATGCCCGTAGAGGGTGTGGATACATTCTCCCGTCTCTGCATTCCAGACCTTGAGCGTGCGATCGGTGGAGCCGCTGATGATGATGTTGTCTCGCATCTGGGACGACCACACGCCCCCGGTGTGGCCCACCAACGTCCGTAAACACTGTGAGGGTGGGGAGGGGGACACAGAGACAGAGTCAGGACTCCTCACCGCCTCCCGGAGGACCGGTCCTCCGGTCTGCATTTACACACACAACTGGAAATCCCATTTGGGATTTCATTTGCCGTCGACCTCATGTTGCCTTCGGGGGAGGGGAGGGAAAAAGAAAGAAAAATTCAATTTCTGCGACCCTTTATTGGAACAAAGACCTGCTGCACACCGCTTCTGCTCACGGGCAAAACACCCCGTTCCTCAGCCAGCTGTTAGAATTGCTTTCACTTATCTGTTTGAAAGGCAGACAATTCATTGTTGTTGAGAAAGGGGTTGACAGCCGTCCTCAGTAAAACACATCCATTCATCCTCATTAGGGATGCCTGATTAGCTATTGATTACAGCAGTTATGGAAATCTTTCTGATCAATTGAATTTGCGTCTCTGCAGTTTGTCCCACGTTTGGGTCGATTTAATTATCCTAAATGCATTAAAGCGAAACTCTCTGGCGATGGGGTTTGGTGGGTGGGAGGGAGCAGCTGTGGTTCTTTTAGCGTCAAGCTGAAGCTTGTCGCTCCGCTGTAGAACATGTGACCTCTGACTGTGCCTGATAAGCTCCAGCTGAAGGCAACATCGGTGCAGACAGAGGAGTGAAAATGAAGCTGCAGACTTTTCGTCTCCCGTGAGGACAGAGGACCTTCACTGACCGCTGTACGCCACTGTAACGTCCAGTTACAATATCTTATCTTGCTTCATTAGATGCACTTTCTGCACTTCAAACAAGCTGCATCCAAACAAATACCTCTCCAACCTTCTTTATATTTTGCTTATTTTCTCATAAATTGCTCACATCAAGCCAAGATTCTTTCAAAGGTTTTCTCTGCCCAGGCATTTTAAAGTGGCAGTGCCACGCTGTTTCCATCTAGATATAATCATTTTGTAGTACTATCAAGTAACTATGTTGTTACCCTCAGTTGTGATAAAAATGTTCCATCCAGGCATTCTGGACAGCTGAAGGGTTACATTCAGCAATTTGATTTTACCAAATACCGCCCCTTTAAGGAGTTGCTTGGTTTAATTTTAAAGTCACTCCATCAACAAATAACCCAATCAGACAAAGCAAGTACTGAACTGGAGACATGAACACTACTGAAGTCCATACAAGATAGACAAGTTTCTAAAGAGACATTTTTAATCTGGCTCTTTGTTCTCATCAGTTGGTATGAACTTTGCTTCCCATTTCATTTGTTGAGTCAATAAACAATGGGCAAAAAAAACCACAGATGTGTGAGAATGCTGGAATCTAACACACAACCTTCCAACTTAAAGAATACTTTAGGCATAATTAAAGCTGTTTTAAAACTGCTAGGTATGAGCAGCATGTCTGTAGAGTAATAAACTGCAGGCCAAGCCTCCTGAACGGAAACACGGTTATTTAACCAGCATCAGCAGCATGCCAATAAGCATGCTTATTATAAAACTTCTGAAATATTTAGCGAGAGTTTATTTGAACATTTTAGCTTGAGTTTATGAATTAAACAGTAGTTATAATCAGTAACAAATGACTTTTGCAGCAGTTACAATAGCTTCTGTTTTTAATGAAAGCACGAATATTAGGTGCAAAGAAGCAGAGTTTGAACTGATAATTTACTGAATGTCTTTCCATCATGACAATCTAAATACTACTTCCTCACTGTCACAGTTGGCTTAATGCTTTTGCACAGTACAGTTCACTATTTGAATGCCTAAAGATCAGTGTAATAAAATTCCTCCAACTTACATTTTTGACAAATAGATTCTACAGTTTTGGGTTTGATACTGAGAGGGCTGCACCTTTATGTAATTTGCGGTGGACACATGCGGATCCAGGATTCATCTGGTGAATTAAAGGTTCAGAAGGAAGCTCAGAGAACAAGAATCCAAGTGATTAGAGCCCCTCAAACACTGCGTGGGAAGAGACTGCGTCTGAGACGAACGTCTCAGCAATCCAACATTAAACAAGCCTCTCCCTGAAAATGAAGGGAGATTAATGTTCTTCACTCAAATTGTGAATGCACGCTTTAAAGACGCAGATGTGGTAGCAGATCTACAGAAGAGGGTCAATTGTGTTTCTGCTTTAAATATCAATAAAGAAACGAATGATCGTTGTGGGGAGTATAAGGGTAAACAGAGGCAAGTGTATGTTGAGCAAAGATTAACCCTGTAAGACTGCTGTAATATCACGTCTCAGTTTTTAAACCCCCCCCCAAAAAAAGCCATAAATGTTGACTTTTCTTCTATTTTCTACTCAAATTCAAAGATGGAACTATTATTCAGTCTGCTGTCCTATTGGATGTGAAATCTGCAATAAGCAGTAAATCAGTTTAATTGCATGATAAATTAAAACGACCTTAATCATTCTCATTTGCATAATTTAACGTTTTTCTCTTTCTAACAAAAACCGATTGACTAAAGTCTTAAGTCTGGTGAGTTGGTTTTTTGAAAGACAATTTTGTTTAATAAAACAAAATAATGTCATTTGCTGTTTCTGTTGTTTTGTTTATTTTGCATATTTGAAATGTCTTATAACTGCATTACTGTGTTTACCATTATATCACATGGAAATGTTCTCACAATATTATTGCTAATTGCAATAACTTCTGGGACAATTTATCGCCCAGCAAACGTTGTTGTCCTCGTAGGCCTAAATCTAGATAATACTTAGAAAATATTTTTTGTGCAACCCTTGAACAAAATACTAAATAATTTCATTATATAAGATTCCATTTTCATAACACATTACAAAACTAAAAAGTCTGAAAACACATTTTTGTCTCAGAAATACTCATTACCAACTATTTACATGGTAGAGATGTTTTCTTTTCCCGTATGTTTTCTGTATTCAGGTGTTCCTGGGTTTCATTTACAACCAAACGCCATATCATTCAAAGATTATTGTGGATTACCGTTTCATCTTCATACCAGACAGCCTGAAACAAGAACAACTGGAGAAAGATGTTAGAAATGTTACGCGTCAGTCTCAGGGGGTGGAAAAACCTCAAAGCCAAAATTACAAACACATAAAAGAAACACGCTCCAACATGTGGAAGCTGAATAAATGTTTTTCCTGCTCTGCCTCCAGGACACTGAAAGATCCGGAAATGCCAATGAACTGTTAAAGCTGTCGAGGAGACATGTTTCACCTTCACGTCTTATAATCACATCAAATAAATGTGTCATTAGGGACGACTAGAGTTAATTATTCCTCCTCATATATTGGGTACAGTCATTAAATGCTTTGAAAAAAAAAATCCTTATGTAAACAAAGATTTTTTTTTTCTCTAAAAACAATCAATAACAATCACTACTGGCATCCAGCTTCCTGTATGCTGTTATTTTCAGTAATTCTTGCATGAGTTTGGTGTGGAGTGCTTTAGATAGCAACTTACTATTGTGTAATAAAAACATGAGTGCATCCTCTTTCAACAGAGCAGTGGTCATCAGACCTGACTGAGCCTGAGGATGATTGTTCACTATAGGAAATAGTAAACTAATGCTAACACAGAACCTTTCCCGTTGGACGAGATGTTGAGGATTTGATGAAATGTACTTGCATAGTTTCTCTGATATAAAGGACAATGATCAAAGTTTTCCAGGGGCCATAAACAACAAACATGCAGCCTGGCAGTAATTCTGTTCTGCATGGACTTTCACCTCTTTATGGTTTTCATATTGGGGTTTCACCTTCAGAATTCTGGGCGTGAGGATGTAGCTGGCCAGAGGGTGCCTAGGATTGTCATTCTCTCTCCCTCTGTCTTTTTTGAACTAAAATGTAACTTGGTATTTATGTGTTATTAGAAGAGGCTGATTCAACAATATCTAAATAGCAAATATAAAAAAATGCTCATCCTTTATCCATGACTTATCGCTTTTTTTGTTGAAGTTGTTAGCTTGTAGACCATTAAAGACAGGAAGTGGTCACAGAGTTCCAGTGAATTAAAAAAAAATAATACACCTGACCTCAGTCTTCCTCTATGTTCACATACTGACCGCACTATGTGGCCATTGGGCTCCAACAGTTCTACTAAAGAGACTTTATCCCGTCTTTGCTTACAGGTGAATAAGAGAACCTATGATAAATAGACAAACAACGTTTAGCCTTTTGGGAGCACAAGTGAAGCCCTGTGGGAGACTCTGCTTACTATTTATATTTTCAATGAAGTCAATAACCTGCTCCAAACATTTAAATGGAACAATTATGACTCTGCATCAATCCCCCAATCTTAAATTCTCATCAATGATAGCCTCAGAAGAAGCAAGCTGAAACGTTTGTCTTGTTGATGGAAAGAAGAGGGTAAAGCGCGGATCGCTGCAGCGCCCCAGGGACACGCCCCCTCTTCCCTGGATGCAGCATCAGTCCACCGGTCTGCCATCTTAAATCTGCGTGACAGCCGAGCCTGCTGCTGACAGGCACCCCAAGGACAAGCTGTGCTCTGTTAAACACAAGGCAGCCACCTTTGAAGCGCTGAGATGTGTGTGCACCTGTTAGTGTGTGTGGATGGAAGACTGACAGCACCAGCCCGAGATGCGCCGAGACAAAAGGTTCCTTCACTAAAGACAGCATCTTTAAACACCTCTACGGGAACAAGTTAGCAGCAAAACTACATTCATGAAGACAAATACAAGGCAGTTTTGTTTACCTTGTCTTTTTCCTTTATACTCACAAATATTGAGATAATAAGAGTTAATTTTCTGATTGTCTCTCAGCGTGGGTTCGATTCAGCGTTTCATCCAAAAATATAATCCAAGGAGAGAATAAATGGAGCAAAAAAATAACTAAATAAATAAAATAAATATGTACATACTGTATATATGTATATATTAGCTGCACTAATTTGTTGAAAATATTAACATTTAGATCACGTTTCTAACTCCCTCATCTTTGATAGGAGCAGGATTTCACATAGATGGGTTTAATAACTATAATATAATATTATATGTATATAGAGCTGTTGACCCTCCATCAAACTGCTGGGTTGATGGAGGCCAAATCCTGTTTTAATTCAATTCAATTCAAAAATACTCTATTGAACCCAAAGGGAAATTAAAAGTTGTTGTAACTCATTTCAAGAGTTATTGTAGATGGTGATGGAAGAAGGATTTTTGGTTGAAGTAAAAATTGACATTCGCAAATTTACACTTCAGAAAAATGTGGAAACAAAAGATCAAACTAATTGCGTTGGTTAAACACGTAAAAATAAAGTGCAACAAACATTTTTTCAAATGATTTAGAAAGTGCAATTAGGGATTCTAAGTGTAATGTAAAATCAAGAGCACTCAGAGCACAAAACATAGAATTAGACTAAATAGATAGATGTGCCTTTATGGATTGGGCTCGTCGATACCTGATTAAGAAATTTTGTCAATATCAGGACCGATACAGATACTGATATCAGTGAATTTCTATTAAACACGTCTGATTGCTCCACATGTAACACTTGAAGGTGAAACAATATAAAAGGTGATGACTAATAAAGGCTGGCAACAGAGAAGAAGAAGGAGGAATGATGAGAGCCTGGGCCCTTATAGGATTTTTACTTTGGTTTTATGAGCATCGACAGATGGTTCACTGAAAAGGTTGAGTCAGCCTCACTGACTGTTCTTTCAGGAGCACTGGGAGAGGGAGTGTGAGGGGGCAGTGTGGTCTGACTGCAGCACCCAAACAAACAGATTCCAGCTTGTTTTTCTGCTGTAAGCAAACAATGATGAGGCAGTTCAAATGCTGCAGGCGACGAGCCGGCCGGTCTCAATGAAGGTGGTTCATCCTGCTGCGATTCACTGCACTCTCCTTCCCCCAACATGCAGTCGCTGAGCCTGTAACTCAGCAACCCGTCAGCTAGACGTTTGGGTTTTAGTGAAGCAGCGCCAAAGCCAGCTCCCTGCCCGTCGGATCACCTTGGTGAGATCGACTCAGATCAGCAAATGCTGTTACTGGTGGGTTTATAATTAGCCATGGGCCCAGAGCCAAAGTTAGCATGTGTAACGGAGAATCTTTGCGTCCATAAAAAGCTTTCACCACACCCCCACCATATGCCAAGAATGCCAGAAACTGAGTGAAAATTCACTCAGTGAAAATGCACAGATGCCTATAGGTATGTTGGATGTTATTGTTTACATCTGGAAATGTGCAACGCTGGAGGGCAAAAAGAACAACTCAGTTAACTAAATGAAACATGGAGCTGTAGGTATTAATTTGGCGTCACAACAAAGGGAAAAATAACAGACAAAACATTGAACAACTGAAAACCACTCATACTCTTATTTTTTCTTGCTTTCTGTCAACTAAGCTAAACATATACCTGTTGCCATAACTGTCAACAGCTCCACCTTTATATCAAAATTCAACACCTGAAAACACAAACATTTCCCATACAGCAATTTTGTAGGTCGCTTTTTTAAATGAACCACGAGACTCTGAGTTCCACAGCATGTTAAAGATGTCAAAGTTAGCATACTTGTGATACTTCCCTCTCCATCTTCTGTTTTATTAAAACTTATATCTGACCTGTGAAACGTGAGCCTTGTATGCAGTAAAGCACCACACCATTTTTTCTGTTATACATCACATGTATATTTAAGATTTAACTCGTTATATTGACGACTTGACAGTTAGAACCAATGCTAGTCATCGTCAGTGAGCAGTTTTTTTGTCCTCCAGCAGAGAGCCGGAGGATGGTATCTAACGTGTATGGAGTCGCATTGCAACGTGTCTATAAAGAACTCCACAAAGACGGTTTCTGAATACGGATATAATATTGTGGGGGGAAAAAAAACATAAGACATGTTCCAGTTGTTAGCTTAGATGACCATTATAGTTAAACTGAAGTCCAACAAGGAGGCATAAACACTGATCTGCAACCTCTCCACACCTCCACCTCCTTTTTAATAAAGCAGCAGCCCAGTGTGACCGCTCCAGCTCCTGCTACGCATACCAACAGTGTGTGCAGGCGGATGCTGTGGAGCAGCACTGCGAAACGAATCAACGTAAGAAGCCAAACAGACTGGTGAGGCTCTTAGGAAGAAGATTGGATCTAGATGCAGAGAAACGTTTTGATCACCAGTGACCATCAACAGCCTGCTGCTGTCAGTTCCTCCAGCTGAGACACGCGGTGAACATGCTGCCTTTCAAAACAACACGGGGCAAATCCAATATTTGTTTACATACAGCACTAGGAACAAGTAATCATAAAGCTTTTCATGTTTGATTGCTGTATTTATTTCTTTTATGTGACAGACCAACACCAGGCCTGCATGACTGTGAATCAAATTAACACTGAAAAGCATACATTTATAATTTATTGTGAAATATTTTCATAATTTTGATTTATTGTTGCCATTACAAATTGTAGTTATTGACAGTAAACAAAACAAAATTGAGTATGATAGGAAATGGTATTTTTGATACTTACTCCACCACTTGTTCCACAATTAAATCAATAAATATCAGTAAATTTGAGAATCTGTTTAAACTCAGTTATGGTGTAAAGTTTAATGATATAAATCTGAATGTTTGATAGTTTATTGTGTTTTATTGTGTCCAGGACATCCAGGACTCCAACACCTCATACGTTATCATCTAAACAGACCTGGGATGATTCAAGCTCCTTCCTGACTGTCTTTTTTAAAAATGTGACCAGTAATGCTTCCTCAAACAGGTTAGGAAACATGTAGGGGCTATAAAGAACATCCATCACATTTTTTTTTTTGCACAAAATCATTCATAGATAGGAAAATTGTGATCTATTTTGGGCTCTTCTCAGAATGTTTTTGGGCCTCTCCATCTTTAAATGCAAGTAAGTTTTTGTCCCCAACTCAACGTTCACACTCGCAAATGAAAAAGGCTGCAAACAGATGCTCAATTTTATAACCTTACGTCTTTGAAAAGCAGAAGTGAAGCCTCCTACTCAGCCAAAAAGAATGTAGCGAGTGGTTTCTGAATGGTAAGTCAACAACAAAACACTTGTCGTTTCCAGCAGCCCTTCTACAGTGCATACAGCAGTACAACAAGCTGACCAAACATCAGCACCGCTTGGGGCTTTCCTGAGGTTCCTAGGTGATGGGCTGGGCTTTGCCAAGATTGCTAGGTGACAGGTGAGCAGTGCCTGCTGATTTGTGACATTACAAACCAGAAGGTTTTTGAAACGGCTCATTTTCTGGATACCAAATAACATCAACTTATTGCCAAAAAACGGCTGAGGGATTTATTTTAAGCGGTTTGACTATTTTTACAAATAGTAGGAACCAAAATGAGAGTACAAAAATGTACATTTTGCATAACACGTCCCCTTCAAAGTTTCAGGCAAAAACTGCTGCAGAAATATTCCCATGTATCTTTGCCATAAATTGAAAACAGGCCTGGTGACCGCTCTCCCTCCAGAAAACCCAGCTAAAGAATAGAAACAGTCCTACCTTTCCTGTGATGGCCGACCAGACCTTCAGTGTGTTGTCGTCGGAGCCGCTGACAATGCGGTTGCCGCAGAACTGGAGGCAGGTGATCACATGGTCGTCGTGTCCCTTCAGCACCTTGCGACAGGAGAGACGGGGTGAGACAAGATGAGACAACAGGAGGATGACAGTGGCGTGTCTCCAGGGGTTAGAGTGAGATAAAAGGAAAATGGAGGCAGTTTCAGGGAAGTATTTGGTTCTGAGTTTATGTGCCTGCACAGAAGAAAACAAAGACATCAGGAAGATAATCTGTGTCCAAAAATGACCTCCAGATGTCCCAGAAGCAGCGGCAACCTCCAAGGTCTCCCAAAGATGTTATTTTTCCGGGTCATGATGTGAAGAAAATTTTCTTCACAGGTAAAAGATAAAACCAGACCTGAGACTGAAGGACACGGTCCTGAGAGCCTGCTCCATTATTATTTCAGTGGAACACTGCAGTTGTGACTTATCACCATTTTCCATCAATTCCAACCCTCAGGCTTCGTTTGAAGCTGCTTTCTTTAACTTAAAGGTGCTTGATAAAAGATCTTCATCATCATTTAACCCTATTGGGAATCAATAGAGGAAGCTACCTTTGGTGATCTCAGGTCCCCTCTCCTCCAGTTGGTGTCTATCCTGTGCTGCCTGATGTAGGCACTCTTCCACGGGCTGTGGGTGAAGCCCGGCTTGGCCACCTTCCTTTTCCGTGGGGGCAGAGGCTCGTCGATACCTGAGAGAGAGAAACATAAGCAGAATGTGCTTTACAGTACAAAATAGCCAGAGTGTCTATCTGCAACGCCCTCAGCAGGGTGGTCAAACGTCAAAACATTCTTGTTAATAATCTGATTACTAATACATTTTTGACTTTTCTGGTGCTCACATTTGTAATGTGCAAAGTAAAAAAAAATATTATTTTGAGACATGGATCAACTTTAGGGACTTAAATGCAATCACACGTGGTCAATTCTCATACAGCCAATCACGTCGCCATCCTCCTCGTTGTACGACTCTCTGCAAACACAAATGACTTGTTGACTGTTGCCAGTTACTGAAGTGGTTCTCTCAAAGAGTTGAAAAAGCCTTAAGAAACTAATTTAACCCTCAGTAATGATGCTCTTATGTAACACTGTTGACCGATTGCCTACTAAGATGGCGCATTTCCAGGTTAATGTTCCGGTCTGGTCTTTTGGGAATTTTGTATAAATAGTGGAGAATTCAGCCCTCACTTGCAAAAATAAAAAGCTTAAAAGTGTCACTTCCCCGTTTGGTAAAACAGACAAGATAATACTTCATAGAAGTACCCTCCCATAATATCTGTTACTTGAGGGTGAACTTTGATTCAGGTGTGCACTTGTTTGATCTTATAACAGCTGCTTATCTTTAGTGACACATTGAGTTCTTCCATCTGTCTGTTCACTTGCTGTTGATCCAAATCAGTGTTACAGAGACAGTAATAAAGGATAAATTCAAAAATAAAATAACCTTCTTCAAATCAAACATGAATCTTTAGCATAATAAAACACATTTTTACAGTGTAAACAAAGATCCGGTCCATGACGATGTATTCAGCAGCAGCTCTGTACAATTTCTGCCAGATGGTAATTTTTGAACAGTCATTTTTTTAGTGATAAGCTACAGCAGCAGGGTGGGTTGCTACGGGTTACTGGTTCTTTCTGCTCTAATTGTCAGCTCCAGCCTGACTCCACCATTATTATTAGCTATCTTTACACCTGGAGCTCTGGCTCTTTTACTGCTTCCTGTTTAGTAGCACGTCAGCCTCAGCTGATCGACATTTTCCTGCGTTAAGTCACACCACACTGGAACAGAACGGAACGTTGCGTCGCATGAGCGGAACAGCAGAACAGAGCTTCACAGGACAGGAAACGGGACATAGTATTGTTGGAAAGCTCATCTAGACAGGTGGCTCAGACCAACCAAGCACTGGCTCTGAGTTCGTTGTGACGCTACTATTTAATCACTAGCCTTTAAGCTTGTGATGTGTGAGAGACCCCTGACCTTTTTAACATCAGTGTGGTAGAGTTAGCGTGTTCCGTTAGCATAGCTAGCAAGCAGAAGAACGCTTGTGTTCACCTTGTCAGCTAAAGAGTCAATCATGCTGTTTTTAGATGCTCTCAGCTCACTGAGTGATTCTACAGGGAGTGGAGGAGCTATGTTTGCAGATTTACATCGATTTTAATGCATGCTAGTATTTTTGAGTGATTCGTTTTCGAGTATCCATTATTCTGACAGCCCCAGTGGGAAGCAGCCAGACTCACCCTCTTCCCTGCATTTCTCTCTCCACAGCAGGTTGTCCTCTGCCAGGATGCGCCAGTAGCGACACGTCTGCGCCGCTTGCAGGAGGTCCTTCGGTTCCAGGAATGAAAGTACGTACAAAGCCAGCTGTTGATGGACCAAGACAACGTTAGAGGGCTGCAAATTCACAATAGAACAGGACAACAGGCAGAGGGCCAGGCGATACGAGGCGCTCACCTCTTTGGGCAGCAGGGAGATGAAGTCGCGTTGAAACTGCGGCTCGATCACCTGCATCATATGCTTGACCTGTGTGGGCTCACAGCTGTCGATCAGCTCATCCAGCGCTAGCAGCTTCTCTGGGCCGCTCCAGCTCTGCAGACAGCACAAGCAAACGTGGATACGGGTTTCATTCAGGGGTCAGACACCGGCTGACAACCACACCAAACGTGCTCAGTTTTAGATGACATCATCATTACAGCATCAATCTGGAAAAGGATGTATATCACACCTGTCAAACTCAAGGTCCGGGGGCCAAATCTGGTCCACCATAGCTTTTTATGTGGCTCTGTGGACTCCAATTTACATCAGGCAGAGGGAGTAAAAGTGGAGTAAGTCCTTCCACTTTTTTGCAAATCCACTAAATTCATGGAAAATCAAAGCTTTTTTCAGATTTTGATATTTGAACAGTTTAATGTGCTCTATCAACAGATTCTGGCACAACTGGACCTTTAACAACATTCAAATTTCTGATATACTTAACAATAAGTGTTGATAGTTCAAAGATAATAAAACATGCAGTGTCCAAACTCCCAGGACTTATCCATCTGAGTCAAGATGGTTTAATGCAAAAAAATTCAAAAATTTCAGGCTTTACCCAGCATCCTTTGCTCTAACCCATTAAAGCTGAGCTGAACAAAGGTGGTTCAAACTACAAATGAATGAAAGGTGAAAAGAAAATGTGACAAAGACAGAGGTCAAAGTTAATTTCCAGCCAGTAAAGTGTGGAATAGAAGCAAACAGAGCCGACTGACTTCACAGAAGAATTAAAGGCTGACATTTCTATAAACTCACTGAGGTAGTGGTGGAATTGGGAAGCCGAATGCAGTTCATCTTCCAGTAAAAAGGCTCGCAGCTATTTTATTGGATTGCCTATAATATGCAGTTGTTGATATGAAATACTGAGCCAGTTATAGACATTCTGCTGCACAGTGTAACGAGGCTCTATTGAACCAGATAGATGAGCCAAACATAGTTTCACTCTGATCTACTTCTGTAATAAACTCTGGTTTTATTTCCAAACCACATCACTTCTGCAGATATTATTCAGAAAAAAAGAAAAGTGGGAATTGCAGAGCAGCAATACAAGCATTCACACATAGCAGTGCCTTAAAAGCATCGCCTCCACGTCTCTGAGCATGACTGGAGGTGAAAAGTGCAAAAAGTGAAGCAAGCAGAACACAGTCGTCCATCAGAAACTGTGTTTCCTTTGGCTGTATAATTACACAATTTGACATTTCGAAAATAAATGGGAACACGCCAATTTGAAAAAAAAACTTGTCGATAAGTTTTGGCGTTTTGGTGGTTTTTCAGCCGAATCAAAATCGGCTGAAAAACCACCAAAATTTTGCAAAACTGCGATGGAAACATTTTTTCCATGACCTGTGTCACATGACCAAGAGTTGGATGTTTCTACTGGAGCAAACCATGAAAAAGATCACAGGAAGTAGTTGGAGGATGATGACACAGGATGCTTTTAAAGCGGCACTGTTGTGTCAAATCAACTTGTTTGAGCTTTATATCATATTATAATGTGATATAGCAAAGTTCTTCCTCAGAGCTAAAGTTTGCAAGTTTTCACCTCAGCAAACACCAGGTGGAACTGCACATCAGCTGGGCTCATTACAGGACCTACTTCTCGGTGCAACACTGGGAAAAACTTTATTAAAGTCTTAATAGAGGAGCCATGTTGTGATGACTTCCTGAAGGCGCAGTTTAAGACTGAGCAGGAGTTTTTAAAGAGACAGAGGCCCAATTTCAAGGTATTAAATTACAAAGTCCATTTTATTGAGAAATATTTGATGTATATAGCATAAAGTTAACAGCTACTTGATTGTGCTGTATAATGGTATATAATACTCTCCCTTTACAAACTTATCCACATGCTCCAGGTCTTGGGTTTTTCCACTAGTGTATCAGTGGAAAAGTTTGACACCATAAAGTTGCTTTGCAGCACCACAGTTTAATTCCTCCAACTTCAACATTTCAACCGTTTCTTCAGAACCACTCTCTGAGGTGTCTGCTGAAGCCGGCAGACGCAGGGCATGGGCCCTGGAAAGGCTGGGCTCTGACGCTGATTACAGGCGGAGTGGAAAATCTGGCTCTACACCTGTAATTTGGCAACTGAAAGGTTTAGCCAGAGGTGCTGGTTCTCAGGGTAATGACGGGCTGCAGAGAGCTGCCCACAAACACAGCGCTGAGCAACAGATAGTTAACTCTTACATCAACTCCAGCCACTGATCTTCAGCTTCAAACACGAGCCTCTCCTCCTCAGGTCTGTCCATCAACCTGAGATTAAAATGATTTTCTCTTCTAAAATTTCTACCTTGTTATAAACCGTCTTTCACAACTGCCGCGAAAATTTGGTGGACTGAAAACATGGTCCGAATAACACTTGAATACCCTCCCCCATGCCCCCCACCCACATTTATTATAGGTGTAACAATATCAACCCTATTAAAGCGTTATGACATACGTATGGTTGTATTTGCTTTAGAAGGATGCATGAAGGATTCTGGGATCATGGCATTAAAACAACAAACAGCAGGAATGCACTGATCCACTTTTTCACTTCCGATGCAAATACCTGAGGTTTAGTATCAGTAGATACCGATCCAACAAGAAAAACTGTTCTGAATCTCTTTTTTTTGTTTTAAACACAGAGATTAAAGGGAGAGAATTACAAACTTATTTGGTAACGCTGCACCAGTAAAGCACACTTAAATTTATCAATAGCTTCAGAAGCTTTGTTTGAAAATAACTCAACTATAATTTGTCCAGTCCAGGCAATTAGGAGTACCAAAACCCAATGGAAAATAAATAAAGTGACACAAACAATAGCTTGACTACATTGGTTAAACATGTAAAAAATAAACTGCAGCAAAACTTTATTGAAATGTTTCAGAAAGTGCAATTAGAAATTCTAAATACAATGTAAAATAAATAATAATGCATGATGTTACTCAAAGCACAGAATTAGACTGAAAAGATCTGTCCTTATGAATTGGGCAGATTGTCACTGATACCCAAACCAGATTTTTTTTCAAATCTCGGGATTGATTCAGATATTGATATTGGATCGGTGCATCTCTAAGTAGCAGACGAGAAAATCTGTTGCAGTGGAAGAAAATCCTGATCTGTTCTGATCTGGAGTTAAAGGGCTAGTCCAGAAGGATTTCTAAAAGTCTGGAAAAAATGTATCTTCTCAATCTAGAATACTTCAAATTGAGTTGTGTATTTGTGGGGGGAAAAAATAGGGATTTGATGTTTATTTTTGTGATTCTTTACTAGCTTGCGATCTACTGTATCAAATGCTTTACTTCTTTAATTCACCACAAACCAGTAATGACAAGAAAACAAATTCAGCCTCGACAGAAGGCACTTCATCTCCCTGTTGCCGTCAGAATAGAAATATGTTTGATGAAATAATGTTCAGAACAAACACAGAGGGGTCACAGGTTCACACAGCTATTAGAAGATAATAAGTCATAACTCTCTGTGGAAATGAAATCTATGACAAGTCATTACAGCATCGAAATCATTGCGATTATCAAGGCTAATAAGTTTATATCACATATTATTTCCTTCCAGTCGGAGGTCATTACAGCTGCAGACTAACAAGACACAAAAAAAAGTGATGGAAGGTTTGACAAGTACATTTTTCAATAAAAGGTTTAGGCGCTTGGATGATGTGGCTTTTTGGTTATATCGACAGGAAGTGGCAGCTGGATGATGGTATAGCATGTTTTTAAAGACTTATGGAAACAAACTTTGACTGCGTCTAATCAAAACGCTGCAATTGCGAAATTTTTCTAACATCAAAAATTAAGTATTTTGAGTACATTTGGCACACATTTGTGATGGAAACTGAGCTACTAGCTGTTTTACTCCTAACTGCACTGACTGAACAAATTAAAGTTGTTTTTCCATGTTTCACAAAGCTTGGGAAACTATTGGTGGATTTAAGTACTGGTGCAGTTACCAAATAAATTTGGAAATCAGTGCATTTATGTCTGTTTAAAAAAAAAAAACGTTTTAAGTCAACTCTGTTTTTCTGTAATGGATCGGTGTCGGCCATTACAGAAAGTGAAAAAAATGAATTGATACATCACTATGAGAAACATTGAGATAGTTTACCATATTCAGATGAAGCTTTAATAAAGAGTTAGCTCTGAATCCCTCTCATCTTTTCATTGCCGTTCTGTCCAGCAGCTACTCAACAGCAACTAAGGAAAACTAAAGGAAGCTTTTATTTTCAATCACACACCACAGTGCTGCTGATAATGTGCTGGGCGACACAACGAGGCAACCAATACATGGGAGACTAAAAGCGCAGTGATTGGACGGACATCTGCTCTCTGATGGTCCGCCAGAGTGGCTCACCTGAAATGTTCGGAGCCATTCCTGGAGCCCCGTAGGAGGCTGGATTGAGGTGATTCGTCGTCTCTGCTGGCCCTGGCCGTTGGCCGCTCTGATGTGGCCGAAGGTGGTGGGTGTGGCTGGACACGGGACAATTCCTGTTGGGCTGCAGTTCACACACAACAACAAAGCACCTTTAAAGTCAGCATCGCCCCTCTTGTTGCTCCTCTACAGGAAATGAGCGCACGAACAGGCAGCAGAGGAAGCTCTGCTTTCAGCACGAACAATAAGGACCATATTACCGGAGTATCTGGCAATGCTTTGCTGCGACCTGGACAAATATTTAAATCAGTGCAGTAAGTCGATTAAAAAATTGTAATCAAATTAATCTAGCGATGTGATTAATCACTATGCTGAACTTTGTAAGCTCACAATATAAATATGCACACACTTCTGGTTCTTGTAGGAATGGTGCCATGGGTCCTGCTGCACTCCAACCAATTAAATTAAAATAAAACGTATTACTTGTTTGATTTTTGATTTTTTTTTTTTTTGCAGCAGAAAGTGTTTTCTCCCAGTACTCAACAGCAACTAAAGAAAACTAAGGGAAGCTTTTATTTTCTAGTTCTTCTGTGCTCCGCCCCTTTTTGATGCTACCCTATGCAACTGCCCATGTAACCTCTATCAAAAACTGCGTCTTTATTAATATATTTTTTTAAATGTTTGACAGAATGTTTTTGTTGTTTCAAACATGTCAGAAGATTCTCAGGTTTTCATGTTGTGATACTCAGGAAGGCTTAAAGAAAATAATTTTTGTTTTAAACGTTTACATACAAATTAAATGTGGACATACACAAAGGTTTCTGCTAAGCTGCGTTTATTTTCAGTCAGGTACAGCAAATGGAGCAGATCGCAGTGGCAGGGGGTTTCTAGAACCACTGATCTGGGTCCAGACCACAGGAGAACCTATTCAAGCTTAAGGTTCAGTCAGCTGGCGGGAAAAACTGAAAGTCAGGGGGTCGGTTTCATTATCGATCCATTTTTAATGGCACAGGGAGCCTGTTACAGCGCACTGTTTACGCAGAAGTGGTTGTGTTGGGTTTGAATTTTAAAGCAGCGACATGTGAACTCATGCATTAAAGATCAAGCACCAGGAACAAGCAGCAGGCAGGACGCTGCGGACGTAACCAGCCTCCTGCTGGAGGACGAACGCAGCTCTGAGAGTTCAGAACACTTGACATTTTTATTGGCACCGTTACGCTGTGTGGCAGATGGCAAACAAATGAACGGACGGGGCCTGGTGACCTCAGGAAAACAGCGGAGAACAGGATCTCTGAGCATACCTCGGATACTCTGGGCCTTTGCAGGGCTTTTTTCCTGAAGGGAAAGATCGGACCTCTGGGCCATGGTCCAACTTTCTCTTCATCTGAGGAGAAAAGGAGGGAAATAAAGGGAGAACGTTAGAAAACATGACACCACTTGAGTTTGTGTTCAAAAAAGAAAAAGATATAGAAGTGACACTTCTTTTTAAGAAGGCAGTGCTATACAAGGAATTGACCATCAAACCTTTCCACAAAATGTGAAAATTAAAAACGGTTTGCTTTTTGTACCTCATGATGAAGTGACAGAACGTAAAGCATAAATTAATTACAATGTGACAAAGCTAACAATCACCACCATAAATAGTGGCAGCCTCGTCCTGTGGGGTTGATTGGAGACGGGAATTACTGTCCAGAGGGATCACAATGCACAAAGCACCGTTATTGTAGATCCTTCCTATCAGCAGCTGTTAGGCTCCAGAAACTCAGTAGGTGTTCACAGCGCTGCCAGTGTTTGTTCATCTCTGGTGTTAGCAGTTTTAATTTTCCACATATTGTAAATAGCCCATTGTTTTTAAATGCATAAATGTGATGCACCACAGAAAAATAGGACAAAGTCTCTAGAGGACGAACAAAGAAGACAAAACAAGAAAAACTACAAATTTCTGACAGAATAATTTGTTTGTGTTTTTCTACCAAATAAACGAGTTAAAGTTATGAAGAATCCCCCCACGACACTTTAAATAGCAGTTTGGGAGGTTTTTAAAAGATAAACTTTGTGTTTGAACTCAGTTCGTTTACAGAGTAAATCTGAGCTGTTTGGGGGTGTGGAGGAAACTCACAGTTGATCAACACACTGGGTTTTATTGGCCATCCACATGTTTCTATTACTAAATTCACAAACTGAGCTGTGGTTATATAATGCGTCGTTATGGAAACTTCTACGATAATTCAGCCGCTGTTCTCACTTCAGCATCTGGATCAGAACGGGATGAAATGAGAGAATACAGCAAAAGCAACTGCATTACATCGCTGCAGTTAGTTAAAGAGGAGGAATGTTTTGGACGGGAGGCGGAGGAGCTGGAACGCAAACTTTAAGTTTTTTTTTTTTTTAATTTCCATGAGTTTGACATTGTTGGAAAGCTTGGAACCCACACTTTCAAAATCTGTAAACATCTCGAAACATCCCGGGGAGATTTATTCTGCCCTGGTCTGTCACAAATATTTATGTACATTATGTAGATTTTTATTATTATTCTACTCAGTTGTACATTCCTCATAAGTTAATCTTGTTCTTAATTTTGTTATTTGTTGTTTGTACACTTTCATTTTTGTGTGTGAACCTACATGCCTCAGCATTCTGTCTCTTTGCTGCTGTTAAACCGAAATTCCCCCACTGTGGGACAATAAGAAGATATTTCTATTCTACTCAGTCACAGGTACAACAGACAAACCAAATTGTCCAATCAAAGTCTAGATCTGAATCCAATTCAAAGTCTGTAGCAAGACTCTAAAAATTCATGCTCATAAATGCTCTCTATTTATGAGCTTGAGTGACTTTGCAAAGAGGAGAGCCAACATTTTCCATCTCCAGATGAGAGATCCCAAAAAAACCGTCTGCAGCCGGAAGACCAGCCGGTGGCATCAAGGCCTTATGAATATTTCTGAATGGAACCTTAAGAAGGTTAGGAATGTTTTTAAAAACAGAGGACTGCTTTGGCAGACCCAAAGAGAGTCATCACTGTGAGAAAGTGCACAGTGGCTGAATGTTTAACTGTGTTTGTGTTCCCATTCTGAACATGATAACCACAAGAACAGGGAACGGTGATCCCTAAGCAACCAGACATACAATAATATCTAGAGGCAAACACGTTCACGCCCAGATTCCAAGGGTACAGAATGTTCGCTAAATAACCACAGAATACGGCAACTCTCAGGAGGAGGGCACATGGCGCATTCTTTGGCTGTGATTCACATCGACGGCCCACAACAAGCACCAGAGTTACTTCTTTATCATTTTTCATCACCTGTGTGCGCGCTGCCTCAGGTCCCTGTTACAACCCACCTGACTGTGCAAACAAAAGAGGCTGTGTGCAGGGCCTGGGCCAGCCAAGTTTCCTTCACCCCGCGGCTGCCACTCTCCCTGGCCAGACTCATCAACACCAATAATTCTTCGTCAGCAAGAAGAATTAGTGGTCATGTTCCTCTAGTGTCCTGCCACAACGAGACGCAACCGCCTGGCCTTACCATAATCATTTTCAATTGGTTCAGAAGAGAAACATGAAGCATTTTAAGAACAACTTTGTCTTTGAAACTCAAATATAAGTTAGTCTCTGCTTAGATCCCAACATCCTTTCTATGGCCGAAAATCAGAATCCTGAATCATATTGATATATAACATATATCATCATATTCTCACACACACACACGTGTGTGTGAGAATATGATGATATATGTTATATATCAATATGATTCAGGATTCTGATTTTCGGCCATAGAAAGGATGTTGGGATCTATATATATATATATATATATATATATATATATATATATATATATATATATATATATATGTATATATATATATATATATATATATATATATATATATTATATATATATATATATATTATATACGTGCTGTTAGTGAACGATAACACTAACACTAAATTTGTTGGCACTTTAAAACTACAGCATCTGAAAATAAATGAAGGAACTGTGTACTTTTAGCTATTTAGACATATAAAATAACTTACTTGCAATGTTCTTGATGAACACAAAATATTGCCAAATGATTAATGACATTTGTTTTTTCTGAACAGTTTCTCTTCCTCTTTGCCCAAAGCAGATAAGGCCTGGAGACTTCCCATGTCAATGTGCTAATTTCATGCTGCGAGTCTGGTGAATTTAGCCACGCCCCCAGTGCAGTTACTTTTCAAAATAAAAACTCACGTCACATATCGTCACAATCTCTTCTTTTCTCAGGTGACCAATTGTCCAAGATTTTATTGTTCCTAACAGGAGCCATCTGGTTCTGGTCTGCTTTGCATCCCCAGAACCAGAACCAAGAGAGGAGAAGCAGCTTTCAGCATCTATGCACCAAAAATTTGGAACAAACTTCCAGAAAACTGTAAAACAGCAGAAACCCTGGCTTCCTTTAAATCGCAACAAAAAACACACCTGTTTAGAATTGCATTTGAAACGTAATATGTAACAATGTATTGTCTATTATATGTTGCATGACTTTGTGTTTTTGTGTTTATGATGTAAAGCACTTTGAAATGCCTTGCTGAAATGTCCTATTCAAATAAAATTTGATTTGATTAAACTGACTTCTTGTTTGCAAACCTCTCTATTTATGATTCTTGTTAAAGAATGGCAGGGACCACAGACAGGCACAAGGACACAGCACAGGTAGTGCTGTGTCTTGAAGGGACATGAGCATAGCCGACCTTTACAAAGCCCAATGAAAAAAAAAATGAAATGGAAAAGAAAAAACAACTTTTCTTTTCATTTTTATTTAAAATACCAAAAATACTGACTTGGGCAAAATTACTTTGGTCATCGTCAGCAATTCCTCGGTTAATTTTTAGTTTTTCTTCCAGGCCAACTAGCTATTGTCCACTGGATTGCTTTCAGTTGTTTTGCCTCAACCTGTGCAGGAAAACATGCATCTGTGCCAAGTCAGAGCATAATTAGATGATGGCTTATAGAAACCAGAAACCAAAAGCAACCCATGTTTCCCTTACGAGGCAGACAATGCCGTTTGGATGCAGGTTTATTATTGTACTATTGTATTCTACTCAGGGAACAACGCTGGACATTTGACTCCATGCTGTCTGGCTCTACAGTGGCATGATTACACGTCTACCTCCAGATATGCGCTTTTCTTGTTTATCACTATAATTTAGGGAGAGAAAGATTGAGCGTCTGTTTGTGGTTTCAGCTTCCTGGGCTTACAAAAATGTTATGAACAGCAAATCTAAATGTAAGATGATTTTTTTTCCTCTAGAAACTCAAACATGATATATTCAAAGGTATGACTGGCTGTAATATGAAAGTTTCTAGAAGATTCCCAACACTTTCAAATTAAACATGTATAATTTAGAACTTAGAATATTAATGACCTTTGTCTTTTTAGGCCAATCAGTGTGATACATAGATACAATACATTAAAAAATATATATGATGCAGGCTTCTCGAGTACCTATTCCACTGGAGCACTCTAATTTTTTTAAATGCATCACATTTAAAAAAATGTGATGCATTTTTTAAAAGTGAACCAGCTTTACAGGTTCACTTTTAAATCACTGATCATAAACACTTGAAAATGATCAATTCATCTTCTAAACAAAGTGTTTTTGGAATCCTGTTTTAATAAGTTCAGACCACATCAAATGACAAGAAACCAAACCTGTGTGTAAATGATTACACACCAATGTCCTGTGGGTGAAAGGTTTCCTGTTCCATTTAATTATTTCAGTCTTTTCTTATTTCTTCTGAAAATTCATCTCCTGTATGCAAAAGCGGCAAGTTTCACTGGAAAAACTCCCAGTTAATCCATGAAGGGAAATTCACAGAAACATCTCTGGAAGTTTCTAAGCTGGGTCAGGTGTGTAACCTATGTGGAACTTAATTTAAGATGTAATTAGGGTGAGTTATTAAATATCTAGAGTAGCAAATAAGACTCAAAAGCCTTGTTCTTAGAGTGGTGATCTCACTGCATCGGCAGTTCAGTAGCCAAGGAGAGCCTGGGTGTGTGTATGCATGCAGAGGGTGTGTATTTGTGTGGGGTATTGTTTTGTGTGTGTGTTTCAGAGTGAGACAGGAGAAAGAGAGAGAAAAAAAGACAGCATACTGGTTGAGAATATGTGCCTCTGTGAGAAAATCTGAAACTGGACATCAAAGAAAAGAAGAGTAAAAAAAGCTCGCTGTTGTGCTAACGAGACGGAGAGAACGCAGAGTTTGGAAATTACTACGGCCGAGTCGCTGCTATTCCCTCGCCTTCATCACCGCCGGGTTCCCTCTCTTCTGCCCAACCCAATAAAGTACCACGGGATGGATACAAAGAGGATTAACGGCGTTTTCAGAGAAGCAATCACTCTCA